AAGGTCTTTGTCTTTTCAATTGTAAAGTTTGAAATATTGTAAAGCATTTTTTCTTTAGTTACGCTTAATTAAATCTGGCGTAGGTATCAATAAAATTGTTTACTTACCACTTTCTGTCGTAATATACTTCGAAAGTCGTATTAGTGGAAGAGGCAGGTACCCAGTATTGAGAGGCATAACATCTAAAACTACAACTTGGGGTTCTGCCCCTGTTTCGAACGAAATCACACCAGCAGTACGACCACATACAGCCCAGATACTTTGTTCTGCTAGAACTTCATACATCACACTGCTTTCAATACTAGACAAATCCAAAATGTGACCAGCCGGTTTTATTTTTAAATTCAAATGGCACAAGACGCCAACACGGCAAAATTCGTTGCCCTTTGCCGGCTGTATACTTGCTTCTATGACATATAACGTCTGAAATAAAGCAGAAATCATTTTGTAGAAAAGTATAACAGAGAAACTTCCAAAACCATAAAACCAATAATTGTAGCTGTAGTTATTGTCTTGTAGAATTTAGCCAAGTATTTGAAACCCTGATCTTTTTATAAATTTTAATTTTAAATGCTTTATAAACAAAATTAAAAGGCATATTATTGGTAATATTTGGAATATTTCATACTAAAAAATTAAACATCTACTACTAGCCCTTTGCATAGATATGCCTCATGACCTAGACAAACAGAAAAATACTACTACCTACAAAAAATGATGGAAAGGCGTATAAATAGTTTATTAATTTATATTTTTATAAATCCCTATTGAAATATAATTTTGATGTTTCACCAGTTATCAGTTGTTAAAAAGAAAATAGTGAGCTTACTTGGTAATTGGTTAGGTTAAATAAGTAATTGTAGGTACGTAATTGACTGTCCAAAATACTGTTACTTTCATCTGCTAATACCATATTGTACTGTATTGAAAAATAATTTTTTAAGGGCAGCGACTCTACATTAGGGGTTATCAACAGTTCCCACATGTATGTGATGCTTACACCATTGCAAATTTTCTGAAAACAAACAAATTCAAAGAAAATGAACAATTCAAATGTATTTAAGAAGAACATACTTGACTAGAAGATTCACTAGAATTAAGGCTGCTAACGCCAACATTGTTAACACTCAACGAAGGATTTCTAATTTCTATTTCATGATCGCATTGTCCTGTAACTGCCAAGTGCACAAATTTTCGATGATTCACGGTGTGAAGTCTCCATGACACGCTAAACGGTGGCACAAAACTGAGAGATACGACAAGAGGTTTGTTTGACCACGGAGTGATGATAGTAACTTGATGTTCCTTACAATTTAGTTCTGAGAGCACGCGTAGGCACACATTTGTGACAGAGAAAGGAGAAGGATCCATCACAGCTATTTCTAAACTATTGACTAAAGAATCATCCGAAGTGTGTTGCATTGTCAGGCCTCTTGTAGCAGATAGTCTAACGACAGAGCCCTAAGAAAATAAAAACATTTTTTACAAATGCAAAAATTTAAAAAGTATCTTTAATTCATACTTTTTAACAATTACATACCGGATTAACTTCGTAACTGCCGATTGTAATAGTTAAATGAAGGAACTGTTCAAAGCCCGAGAGTAAGGAAGAAGCGCCCTTATCCAGTCTTACTGAGGGTTCTTCTTTTCTCACCTCAATTACATACTTTGGCACTAAAGGATTTGAAATTAGTTCTAATTTATTGACAGAAATTGAAATTTGTCCTAAATAATATCTTCCAATGGATTTCGCATCTTTGGTCAGTCTTATTATGTTTAAACCTGGGCTTAAAACTAATGGCTACAATTTGAAAACAACACCGAAAAGAAGTGAGAACAAAACGATTATCTGTTGCACTTACCAATTTATTTAACGTTATTGCATTTGCAAAATTACCCTTTACTAATGCTTGGTTACTATCTTTACGTTTTAAAGGCATGCTTCTGCATACAACACTGGCGCTTGCTAATTGTTTATTTTCCCTAAAATTAAATTCAATTTTAAAAATAATTAAGTTAGCACCCACGTATACTCACCTATAGTCCATATGTCTCTGGATCTTTAATGGCTCGATCATCAAGATCCTCTCTTTTAAATCGTTAGCCATTAGAATTCTATTGTTGTTGTTATTATTAACTTTCCTTTTATCCTTACAGTCTGTTTCTAACGATATACCAAAATAAGTGCAAACGACTTCACGTGGGAATCCAGTTTCTATTTCCAGCTCAACCTCCATTAAAGTATCCTGCATAACCAAACCATTATCCTTTACTATTATTCTGAGCACCTTCATAATATTTTCGAATGGCATCACCACCGGCTTCTCAATCGAGTCCATGCATTTGAGCATCTCGTCGAAGTACGTCCAACGCACGAGATTGTCGATTTCTGCGGCTGCACTAACTGAAGCACATGCGCGAAGAAACTTTCGTACATCACCGGCTTTCTTGTAGCAGTCGGCAAGTTCTAGTTGAGTATGCGCAGTCAATTCAAGCCACCCATCTTGTTGAAATGTTTTTAAGGCGTCGTTAAGAAAGGCCGCCGCTTTTTGAGTCTCGCCAAGCAAAAGGTAAAACGAAGCGACTTCTCGCCCTACTAAACGAGCAGAACGAAGACGACCAATGTGCTTATATGTACCAACAGCCAATTCAGCCAAACCCTGAGATTTAAACAGTTAAGAGAAAATTGAAGTAGTATGACATGAACACTATTTTATTCTATTATTAACAGTTTAGAAATTGTAATAAGTATGAAATCATTTGAAAAACAATCAAATCATTTGATCTTAAAAAACAATTTACTGAAAACCAAAAGTTTAGATCAAATAAAAAATTCTTAAAAATTGATGAAAATATTTTAGACGGAAGGATAACCATTTACCAAGTAATTTTCTCGAAAGGCATCTTGAGAAGACAGAGCTTCTTTAAGTTTGTCAGTTGGTGATGGTTTTTCATTAGTACCAGGACTATCCCCTATTCCTGCTGAAAGTCCCACGACCATATGCAATTGTTCAGAAGTTGGCGATTTTCCAGGCATTAAACCACATAATTCACCCAATTCTCGAATCTAATAAAGAGAAAAAAAAACGAAAAATATAACAAGATTAAACCAGTAACAGGATTCAAAAGTTACCTTTTGACTAGCATAGTACCATAAATCAGCAGTATGAGCAGAGTAAGATTCAACATGTTCAGCTTGGTTGTACTGCTCACAAGTTTGTAACACTTCCATGCAAGCCAAATATAACCAACAGGCCAGTGCTCCGGGTATTGCATTAATTTCTAATAGCACCATTTCTCTCACACAAGTATGCAAAAATGGTAAACACCTTGATACCATCTAAAATAAAAAAAGTTATCTTAGAAAAAACAGGAAATTATAAGGTGGTCTAGTGAGAAANCGTTAATTCGAAAAACTGTTCAAAATTTAAAATAATCATTTCCAAAATATTGTACCTAGCTACACATTTTCTTTAAGTTAATATTTCTACCTACCATAAAGGAGCTAATGTTTATTATGCTTAAATGCACATTATTATTATTTTTAAATATTTTTTATCATTTTAATAATCTCTCAAAAATTCTTCTTAAAGGAAAAATACAAAAGAATATCATCAAATTTCGTAAAGTTACCTGCTATGGAATTAGAAAAATTATCATACACAAGAACATTCGGATATCCAACCGAAAGACTTACAGGAGGTAAGGCACAGGTATTAATCTCTAGTTTTGTTACTATTTTGCACTTTTAATAGTATCTACTTCATAGATTTAAGAATAAGACAACTACTGTTCGTTAAAAGATTGGCATATATTCAAAACTGCATTTTTTTCTTTTTAATTTTAAATCTGTTCTTATTAGGGCACTTTTCTGTTCCTGTTTTTATAAAGCATGACGCCATTCAACACCTTCGACCAATGACAGAAGATATTTTTTGGGCGTACTGTATTTTTATGTTGAAGAAGAGTACGCCACTTTTACCCAGTTTTAACATGTTGGTGTTAAGGGTTTTGGAAGCCGGAATCAATTATGCTTGGGAAACGAAGGTAAATCTATATATTTTACTTAATAGCGGCTTGGAAGTAGTACGTTCGTTAAAAAAGAGTGCGGGACTATTGGTTACACGGCTGACGCGTGTTTGGGTGAGTGGTGTCGAATGAAAGGTAATGTGTCTACATATGCACAAACATTAAAATCATTGGAAAAGTTCATCGTGGGACATCGTACTACATGAATAAAAGATCAAGAATGTTTTCAGTAAAAAGTGGTTTATTTGATGTTATTTTAAAAAATTCCTTAAAATAATTTCAGGTGGTACTCTTTCATACGAATAGTCGCACTCAACAAATCATTAGGTATCATTATTATCATGGCGAAGACACAGAGACCGTTAGTCTTCAGTGGATGCATGTTCAAGGAGCTTTCGGTATTTTAGCGTTTGGATATGCGATAGCATTCTTATGTTTCCTAATAGAACAAGTCGTACATAAGTATAAAACACCTACGTAAATACATTAAAATGTCGTTAGCAATATGTTGTTAAGGTTTTCAATCACTAAAACAATAGATTACACAAGAACAGTAGGTATACACAAAAGAAAGCAGTATCTACCCCTAAATGTAGTTACTCACAATGAAAAATAATTTTCTATTATGTTGTAAGGATTTGTTTACTGAAAATAAACTTGTAGGTATATCAAGAATCAAATTTAATATTTTATTTGCCCTTTTAATCTTGAATTTCATTTTATAGCAATTTCCAAGTTTAATTTTTGCAAAAATTTTTATGGTTCTTAACTTTCATTTGTGACAAACAAATTTGTTTATTCTTTTGAAGAATCCAAGCTGATATTAATTTTTTAATTTAATGATCGAAAATGTATAACAATAAAAAAGCCAAATCAATTTTGAAAACAATTTTTTCTCTTTCCTTTCGATAGACTTCAGAAGAAATATGTATACTAATGTCAAATATAATTTGTTTGCTCTTTCGTTATTATCCTGGAACATCAAATGAAATATTCAAAAATTCCTTGTGTTATTAGAGTATTTATTCACTTTGACGAAGGTTGCAGGGCGAATATCGACACGAAAGCACGATTTTCGTTTTGTTACGAATCTACGATCCCTATTGTTAGTAAATTAAAATTAAGGGTGTCGACTGGGATACTATAAATCACTTACAGACATTTAGCAACCTCCTTAATGTATGCGGCATTGTTTCTGTTCAACTGGTAACACTTTTGAAACAAATGAAGAGCATCTTGAATAAGTCCTTCTTCCCGTAAAATAATCCCCTTTAGTAATTAAAATAATTAACAATGAATTAGATACATTACGTGTATAAAACATATATAACTAACTCACCTGTTTGTATAATGAATATTCATGTTCTATGTCAGATGTTTCAATATACCTTTTAATAAAATTTTTACACGCAAATGTTTCGCCCCTTACATGCTGCAAATGAATCAACCAATTATACCTGTCCAAAGAGGGTGGATCTGTAGTTTTTAATTTTGTATCTAAAGTCGATGTCATTTGTTTTTATTTAACAAAATTAAATTCACTCTGCCTATCCACAAACAATTTGTATGTTTGTATCTAATCGTATGAAAGTCATGGTAACATTACCAATTTAACTATTGATTTAGATAACAAAAGTCATAGAGGCACTTTCCACGTGACCAATAAAAATGCAAGCATATTTAGAGTAGAATAGGTCCCTTTTTTAATTAAAATTTAGTCAAAAACAATTTCGATCAAGGGCGATCCTGGTTGTTTATTATTTAATATATTCTAAACTTTTCAAATTCTGAGTTCCTGTTTAAACAAAATTGTAATTTTTTATTACATTTTAAAACTAATCCTAGTCTTTTAAAACAAACATCTGAAAGTAAAAAGTCAACTGTATAATAAACATAATATATATTTACAGCAGTATTCACTGATATTGTACAAAAT